ACAGGAACCAAGAGCCTATTGTCAACATAATTATGGAGTGTAATTTATTTTCATCTCAAAATATCTTCAAACTAATGAAATATAAAGTTATTAGTGAAGAAAATCTGCCTGGATAACAGCAGACTGACTGCTCGTAAAATATACGACAGGTCTGGACCACACATGAATTTTGTTCGTATCTGAAAATAATCTTAGAATACAAGAAAACTGGTGAATGTTCTCCTAAATCACTCATTTGCACAACTTAAGAACAAATCTGTTTGTACGAACGATTCTTGCATGAGGCCCAATGTGCAGATGCTGTACACAAGAAGAAAAAAAAACGTGATTTCTTTTAAAATACTTTTGTATACTACAGCAGATATTTGCTGGTTTGTCTTTCTGTAAATTTCAGGCAAAACAGTTCTATCCTTCTCATAGTGTCAGCAGAAAGGAAAGCACTCATCAGTAAAACTGTTAAAAAACACATTTAATTTCAATTTTAGAATATCAAGAGAGTGGCAGTTGCACATTATCACACGTTATTATGTTTTACACCATTTTTTATTGTTTAAAGTTAGACATTAAAGCATATAATAACAGGATCAAAACCAATGGTGCTCATGTTGAACCAGAGGAAACATAAATAATATTTATGAGAAAAACACAAGTATAGCTTTCAGGTGCTGGTCCTCCAGTTTATAGTAAAAGGAAGATGCAGAGGATAAGAGTTTGGTGTAGCATCTATTATCAGCTCCTGCAGAAAGAAGAAGTAACAAAAACATTAAAAATATAAACTTCAGGAAAAAAATTTAAAGAGATCACAAGTTTCACCAAGATGAAAACAGATGTGATCTTAATGGWATAAAAGTAAATAAAGATCATTTGATTGATCTGCTGACCTGAGTTTCCAGGTTATGATCTGGAGTGAGTTGATGAGTTTTTCCCTCTGAGTCCGTTAGAGTCGCTTCTGTTATCCTGACACTTCCTGCTCCCCAAACCTTCAGCACACCCAGAACCAGGCGATCAGCAGCATCCAGAGCGTTGTGGACAATCTGACTCCTCAGTGTGCTCTGGAGGAAGGATTAGTGGGGAAAAAATAATATGATTTGTAGTTTTTAAAATGTCTCTCTGTATTTTAAAAGGAGGATGTATACATTAGGCAACACTTTAAAAATGCAAATGGAGCCAAAATTTGTGTCTTTGCATATGTTAAAAAGGACAAACATTTATTGAATCGCTACAAAAAAGATATTTCATTTACTCTGAACACACTCAGACTTACTGATTCTGCAGTAAAGGAGGTCAAAAAATACTGGTTTCTTTCCACCGTGTCTGAAAACAGAAAAATAAGAAAAAYAATAAAACTAACAGCAGAAATATTGCAGAAAATAAAAAAAATGTGTATTTCCTTTATTAGTTTTTACAACTTTCACTCATTTAATAGACAAATAAAGGAAATATTGAATAAACTACAAAACACTTGAGGTGGGTGGATGAACAAACTCACCCACTCCTTCTCCATCGTCCCAGAAAAATGATCCTTGAGCTGTGCCAGAGTCGCTCAGGGCAACAAGGAGTCCTAAAGGATTCTTTCGACTGAAAGGTGAAATTAAACAAGACAAAAAGGCTCAGAGCAGAATGGATCTTTACATAAATTAAATGAGAAAGAAGTGAGTTTGTTATATTTAAATATATAATACACTATCAAACTGGTTGGATTAAAAAATTAAGTCATTTTAAAGTTTTGAAGTACAGCATAATTAGAGTAAAAACAGYTTCAATACAATAAAAAATAACTTCCTATACACTTTATTTCCATTATGCAGTAAAGTTGCTTTAAGATTCAATATATCAAGTAATGACTCTCTAATGCAAGGTTTTAATTACTTCATTTTCTTCCTTTTTTTCCCCCCATCTGGCAGAAATGTGTAAAAACTGTCCAAACCTCCCGCTGCGTTAACAGTTTTATATTCGTTGTCAATATAAAAGTACAAATTGTGCTTGAAGCTGAGGCTGAATGTAAAAAGTTAAATAGCTCTTACCTGTAAAATGTGTTATTCTCTGGTTTCTGCCAGGGTAAAATATATCCTCCTCTGATATGAAGATTAATATGGTTCAGTGGTGCCGGCATCCGAATCTTTTCCCCACGCAGCCCGACATCCTTTGCCTAACAAYAACACAATTATTGAATTGTTGAATCATAACATAGTTGAGGTTGAATGTGTGTATTTGATCTCACATCACAGAAAAGAAAAACATTTCACATGAATATAACCGTTTTCTGACAGATACTTACTGTGTGGTAGTCATACCAGCGAGCATTAGGAAGATAGCCTTCCACCTCTCTGACCCTCTTTTCATAAGAAAATTTTGAAGAAAAAAAAGGATACGTCAGCCAAAAGACAAAAGGGATTAATAAATAATCTACCGGTATTCATGAGATGACTGAAAGAGAACACATTTCTTTTTATGCAAAAAATAAAAATGCTAAAAGAATAAAGTGAATGTTTGAAAAATACCTCGTCCAGGACAGGAGTGATAAGAAGGGCAGGTCCCCAGAGAAACTGTTTGTAAATGTCCCAGGTAGTTTTATCATTCACAAACCTGTGACAAGAAAAATAATCTATTAATCCCGCCTCAGAAACCTGGTTACTGAAGATCCATCATGAAACATTAACCTCTGTTTAAATATTTACACTCACCGGCCACTTTATTAGGTACACCTGTCCAACTGCTCGTTAACACTTAATTTCTAATCAGCCAATCACATGGCGGCAACTCAGTGCATTTAGGCATGTAGACATGGTCAAGACAATCTCCTGCAGTTCAAACCGAGCATCAGTATGGGGAAGAAAGGTGATTTGAGTGCCTTTGAACGTGGCATGGTTGTTGGTGCCAGAAGGGCTGGTCTGAGTATTTCAGAAACTGCTCATCTACTGGGATTTTCACGCACAACCATCTCTAGGGTTTACAGAGAATGGTCCGAAAAAGAAAAAACATCCAGTGAGCGGCAGTCCTGTGGGMGGAAATGCCTTGTTGATGCCAGAGGTCAGAGGAGAATGGGCAGACTGGTTCGAGCTGATAGAAAGGCAACAGTGACTCAAATAACCACCCGTTACAACCAAGGTAGGCAGAAGAGCATCTCTGAACGCACAACATGTCGAACTTTGAGGCAGATGGGCTTCAGCAGCAGAAGACCACACCGGGTGCCACTCCTTTCAGCTAAGAACAGGAAACTGAGGCTACAATTTGCACAAGCTCATCGAAATTGGACAAGAGAAGATTGGAAAAACGTTGCCTGGTCTGATGAGTCTCGATTTCTGCTGCGACATTCGGATGGTAGGGTCAGAATTTGACGTCAACAACATGAAAGCATGGATCCATCCTGCCTTGTATCAACGGTTCAGGCTGGTGGTGGTGGTGTCATGGTGTGGGGAATCTTTTCTTGGCACTCTTTGGGCCCCTTGGTACCAATTGAGCATTGTTGCAACACCACAGCCTACCTGAGTATTGTTGCTGACCATGTCCATCCCTTTATGACCACAATGTACCCAACATCTGATGGCTACTTTCAGCAGGATAATGCGCCATGTCATAAAGCTGGAATCATCTCAGACTGGTTTCTTGAACATGACAATGAGTTCACTGTACTCAAATGGCCTCCACAGTCACCAGATCTCAATCCAATAGAGCATCTTTGGGATGTGGTGGAACGGGAGATTCGCATCATGGATGTGCAGCCGACAAATCTGCGGCAACTGTGTGATGCCATCATGTCAATATGGACCAAAATCTCTGAGGAATGCTTCCAGCACCTTGTTGAATCTATGCCACGAAGAATTGAGGCAGTTCTGAAGGCAAAAGGGGGGTCCAACCCGTTACTAGGGTGGTGTACCTAATAAAGTGGCCGGTGAGTGTATATTATAATTCAAAGGTTTGTAGATGTGCTTAAAGGATGTATAAATGTGTATGGTGTTTTAAAAGTCATTCCAAATCAATAAATCCATGTTTTATTTGATTTTAATCATTCTCATGCGGAAACTGACAAGTTCAGCCTCGTCTTCTGAACAGCTTCAGTCACTCTTATTAGCCAGAAAAMCTCTAATGGTACACTTCCCTTCTCATCCATGTGAGGTGTCCAAAAAAAAGCTAACAATTATGGTGAATCTATTTTTTCTTTTACTTAAATGAGCATTAACTTAACTTTTTTATATTTAGCAATGCTCTGATATTTGCCTCACACAGCTATTTACAGGTTTTGGCTCTGAAGATGTTAAAGCATTAAGACAAATTTCCTCCTTAATTGGTTTTTAATTCATTTTTGAACTACTGTTTAACTATGTTCAGGACATTAATTATAAGCACTGCATCATAAAAACCTTGTTACCGAGTGGCAGTAATATCTAAAGCATTAGGTGACCGAATCTAATGCAGGAGGGCCGTAATGAAAGCCAGGGTGGTGATTATTGTTGTTGTTTTGTGTGTGCTCTCACTCATGCAGCAGTGGTCTGATAACGGTGCTTCCTTTGGTGTGCGCCTCAAACATCAGCGTGTACAGGTAAGGCAGGAGGGTGTAACGGATGTTAAGGACGTCTCGAGATGCTGCAGCAAAATCRTCATCCCAGGCTACAGGATCTTGTCTCTGACAGAAAAAAAAACACTCTATTAGCAATTCAAGACAAACAGTAGCAACACCAACTAAAAGTTTATTTTCAGGGGCGGATCTAGGCTTTCTTGCAAAGGCTGGCACAGGGGTGGCCAAGGTGTTTTTAGGGGGCCACATACAAATAAATATAAGCAATCTGGTTTTGAAGTTTCAAGATGGCCGGCACAGTTAATTCCACATTCCTTTAATTCAGCTGTTTTAAGAAGTACTGAACTGAAATTTTGTGTGATCAAAGCTAAGAAAAATCCAAAAAATATTCTGGATGCTAGTCACGACTTATTTTTCAGCTATTTTAATACATACAAAACTGAAATATAGAAGTATCCGAAAACCATCTTTATTCTAAATGCTAATCAAAAATTCAAGATGGCCACCACAGCTAACTTTCAAAAGCTAACATTCAGCTGTTTTAAAACTCATTGAGAAGATATTTGTCATGGATTAGCTAAGATTGCTCACCTGCCAATTACAGATACTAATGCCAAATTGGGCTAACCACTGATGCCAATGCTAATTTTACAAAGGGCTATAATTCAGCCATTTTAAGCATACASAGCTAAAATAAATACAACAGTATCAGAGAGCAATTTCACAAAATCTACATGTGAATACAGAATCCACGATCCTCACCTACTTGTTAATTATTGGAGAGGTGGCACCTTGGTGGGGGGGTGGGTGGCAGCCATGTGCCAGGGGCGGCACTTGTCACCCCAGCCACGCCTCTGGCTCCACCCCCGTATATATTTTATAATCACTCATAAATAATATTTAAAAAGTCGTTTGGCATCTTTTTTGGAGTGTAAGGAAACAAGTTTTTAAATCTAATTCACTGTTTTTGTTAGTAAAATTATATTCTTTATTGGTTACAAAACTACATGAGCACAAGGTATTATGGATCTAAAATATGAATATAAGAGGTCCTTGTTGCTGCAGAAGKGTTTTTGAAATCGCTCACCGGGTTCCCCTTGCTGTTGTGGTTGCGTGAGTATGGATAGAAAGCACCAAGCTGCATCCAGCGGAGACACATCTCATACTCTGCTTTGTTAAAGAACCCACATATATCTGCCCCGGTCTGAAAGAACAGGACAAACAAGAMATTAGGAAGCAGGTGGAACTACTAAAAACACTGATCCCAGGCTATTCASTGCAAACATTATGTTTTCGTTGTTGTGTGTTGTGACTCCACATTAGTGGCAAATGTTCTCCACACAAGTCTCAGTAAAGTCAGAGGGGTCAGGCAAACAAAAAGTTCACTTTGAGCAATTTACAAGTGACAATGTCATAAACTGTATAWGATTATGTTAAATCCAAAACTAGATGTTGATTCTTACATAAGAGAAGCCAAACAGGCTGAACTCCATCATTCCTGCAGAAAAAAAAAACAACAAAAATTAGGTTCAGCCTGGTTTTGGTGAGACAGTGTTTCTGTCCAAGAAAAATAAATTAAAAGTTTAAATTATATTTCGTTGTGTATCTCTATAGATACCTATGATGGATTTAGTCAGCTGGTCCCAGCGGGAAAAATTGTCCCCCAGCCAATGACCAGCCCATTTCCCACTGGAGGGGTAAGTTGACCTGGTTACCACTATTCCTCGCTTACCCGTCACGCTCAGCAGGGCACTGCACAGAGAAGATGTTCTCTTCCACGTTGYACAATACACTTTCATAAAAGTTATCTTTATTATAAAGATGACACCAGATTTCTAGGAAGATGGTACAAAGTTTTAACTATGTAATCTATGATTAATCCGTGTGTTTATCTTATGATCATGATTAGATTACTAATCTCATTCATTTGAACGTCTCAGTTCACTCAGATAACACAACCTGTGCGTTGTTTTTTATTCAGTCACATTCAAAGCATTTTTGTCTCCGTACACAGCTGCACGTCATACCTTTCAAACATTTAACAAATGTTATATTTTTTTATTGGTAAATAAAAAGTGTAAAATAATACAGGAGGGTATWTACTCATAGGTAGGTTTGGTGTGGGACCATCCGTAGAGGTTGTGGACGTCGTAGTGCCTGACCTTCTTTCCGTTGTTAAGTATGTGTTCACTGTTCATGCAAAGGGTCTTGTGGTTTAGGCCGAGCTGTTTGGACTCCAGAGCTTTACACACACACAACCACAGGGTATTTAAAGGGTGATTTTCATTCAATTTCAGCTTAAGAAGACAATTAATTTACAAGTTTCTTACGTGGCATATATGGTGGGTTTTCTAGAAGGGGATCACCAAGACACTTCCCTCCAACTGTGCCATGAACAAAACTGGCCGGTTCATTCATGTCCTTTGAATGGAGATAATAAAAAGGTTAATAAAAGGTGACACATCAGGAAAGGTGAGTGGACAAGGATAGTACAGCCTCATATTGATGTTGTACATTGTAGTTAGTCATAAACATGGTAATCTTTCTCTTTGAGTGAGAAACCAATCATCCTCAGGAATCACATAATAAGTTTGGTTACTTTTGTTTGTCAATAAACTCACAATCCAAAGGCCATCGAACTTTAACGTATTCAAGTAGAAGTCCTCGATTTCTTGATGCCACCATGCTGCTGTTTGACTGCGGAAGAAGTCTGGGAAGGCAGTGTATGCCCTGTAGAGCTGACCACAGTAAAAGAAAAAGTGAAATGCTGTAAACAGAAATATCCCATGCACTGCTGCATGCAGCTCAACCAAATCATCACAACCATCTGCCTAATATTGTGTTGGCAGTCCTCTACGGGGCGCCGGGTGTAAAATGAAATGTTTAAAAAATTTCACTGACACGTTTTTCATTATTTAGCTCATTTTTGGAGTGTTAAAAATGGTCCATTACCATTTTAGGTTATTTAGCTTACTGTTCTTACATTTAGCTAATTTTTACTACATGTTAAATTTAAATGYTAAAAAAATAYGTTTAAATATTCTATCCTAAATCTAAATGTAAATGTTAAATCTTAAATGTTGAAGTTCATATTTAAGTATTTTGGAATGGAACGCAGCCTTTGATGTTGGTGCTCGGCTCATGTTATGATGTCATCATCCTGAGACAATAGCAACCGCTATCGCTTCAATGCAGCTAAAGCTTAAGCTTGGCGCCGTACATACTCGTTATGAACAAACAACATCTGCGTGTTTTTTGAAATAATCGGTTCTGACGCATTATATCAGTACAGGATGAGAGCTTTCCCAGCCAAATGTTACATTTTAATTAAAGAAGCAATGTTACTAGTTTTACCTGAGTTTGAATGATGTAGCTGACAGTTTTACACCTATTTGTGATGTTTGTGTTCTCTAGCATATTGCACGCTTTTCCATGGCAGAGTAAATACATGACATAGTGTACCTTACCTCTACTTGTGTATCCCAGTCAAGACTTTCATTTACAGTGACGTGTGGGAAATCAGGCCAGACCTGGAGGAAAAAGTTTCATGATTTGGATCTGCTTAAGTCATGCTTTTACATTTTTAAATAGTCATTGATAAATAGATCAGTTACCTTTCCCCAAACTATGTCATCACTGAGATGTTTTGGCCATTTGATGAAGACATCAGCTTCTTGTCCTCTTCTAAAAGCAGGATAACTTGTCTCGTTCCCTGAAATGGCTGGATCCTGGAATTAAACCCACACACATAATAAGTAAGTATCTACACTTTTGTCATTTAGCATTAACATATTTTTAGATTAATTTTTCACACAGATGTAAATGGTGACCAAAATTATTAAACTGCAAAAATAAAGAAAAGAAAAACTCAAACGATAGATATAAATGATCCCTCCTCTGACACTGACTGAGCACATACAGTATAGTACAATTACAGATGTGATGTTACTTCTTCACATCTGAAAGCCTTTACCAGAATGAAGATGAACCTCATTCCTTCTCCTCTCATTGAGTCGACCAGGGCAGGGAGTCCTTTAAACTCTGAGTCCAGGACAAAGTCAAGCTGACGCTCCATGTAGTCGATGTCTGCATACTGAACATCCTGCAGCACAAGTGGAGTCCAAAGTAGTTCCTAACTTCATTTAACAGTTTGAAAACATTTCAAATATTTTAAAAAAGGGTTCARAACGTACATAGGGTATGCCAGCTGCCTTCATGTCTTTGTAAAGACTTTCTATTTCAGAGTCATTAGCATATCCATAGCGGCACAGTTGAAACCCAAGAGACCAGTAGGCAGGTAGGACAGGTCGTCCAATCAGCTGTTCAAATGATAATAAAARGAAGTCAAAACACAAAAAATGGGACATAATTCAGTAAGATTTGGTTTGTTTGGGGCGACTCAGTGGTTAGAACATTGGAGTCGACCTSTAATGAGAGAGTTGGWGGTTTGATTCCACCAGTACACACTCACCTGTTTGAGTATCCCTGGACAAGACACCGATCTAAAGCACTGATTAGACTGTGTAGAATAGTTTATTCTGACTAGCTTTGTAGAGGGCTGTATGAATGTGTGTGGATGGACAAATGAGGGCACAGTTTGTGTTTTTAAAGAGCTTTTAGTTTCCTGATTGGCTAGAAAGATGCTTTAAGGGGAAGTTTACCATTTACCAATTCCTGTGTTTGTGTAGCTCTGGGGTCAGAGCCAAAACACACAAACACCACAAACACACATGAAATGAACCAGACTTAGACGTACAGCGGTGTACTCCTCCACAACCAATTCAGGTGTCGGCCCGAGCACCATGTAAAAATCCAATATGCCTCCGGTGGTGCGGTAGGTTAAAGATGGAGCTGGTTGGAATGTCACATCTGGACACAAAAGAAATCAGACATTTAAGTTTCCTAAAATTTAACATCTAATGTTTCCTGGGGTACCTTTGTCAATATTATCACATTGGAGAACAATAAACAACTTAATATATAATTTTCAATATAAGTAAAGCATTTAAACAAACTGCAGAGTATGCTATAGAATAGGAATGGATCGTAATTTTGTGTTCATGTGAGGTATATCTGTATGTGCATATGTGCATGGACAAGCATCCATGTGATGGTGTTTTGRTGGATGATAGGATTTCTCACCCATAGCATTACTGTTCAGCAACAACACCCCATGAGCATCAGCTGTGCTCTCAAGGCCCATGTAGAAAGGATGAACTCCATAGCAGTTCATTTTGTACTGAAAGACAGAAAGAGCATCAAATGTGAAATTGAATAATTTTTTTCAAGCCCAAAGGACCTACTTGCTTTTTTGTTTTTTGTTTTTCTACCTGGATTTTAGAGATGCATCAGGACATAATACAGTACAATACTGTGATTGAACAGACTTTCCAACATTCTTATAGGTAGATCATTTTTTTGCAATCTTGGCACCAAAAGTACCGTAAAAGCAGAAATACCAATATGTTTGATTTGATTTGTTTTCTAAAGGATTGATTCAGTTTGATACTCACACCAGGAGGCTGGTCCTTGGCGAACATACCCCAGGTGTGATAGTTCAGCTCATGCTTATAGGTGGGATGCTCCGTTTCTCCAAAGCCATAGACAAACTCGGATGACAGCCGAGTTGACACTTGGATGAACAGGTCTGAAAAGGTAAAACCTGGAACCGAGGAGTCCCAGCTGATAAAATAAATAATTAAAAACTCACAAGAGGCATCTGATTCGTCAGGATTCAAACAAGTAAAGCATTTCTGACCCACTTGTTTCATGAGAAACACTCACATCTTTGTTCCTGTGCTTTTCCTAATGACCTGGATGCCAAACGGTTTGTTGCTGACTAAGACTTTGTACAGTCTTTTGTCCTCATCAGTCTCAGGAGCGTCAGGGACAGACAGCGGCACCGGTACCTCAAAGCGATCAGAAGTCGGACTCGGGTCCCAGATCTGGATGTGAATAAGGTCTTCAGAAATGAGAAAAACTGCCAGAGGATGACCATAAAAAAATTAAAATGGATGAAATAATAAAAAAAGACCTTGAACTGGAGCATGTGACTGGTATGGTACAGAATCTGGACACGGAGATTGTTAATGTCTGGAGAGTTTGGACGACCACTYGATCTGTACTTCATGTTCCGACTGATATCAGCTGTGATGCTAGAATTTGTTTCTTCGATTGTTGTAACGGCGTAACCGTAGTCATTTGGATAAAAGCACCACGGAACAAGGTCAATGCTGCTCGGCTAAACATGGATAGAAGTGGGAAAAAAATCAGGTTGACTTTCAGAGAATGGAAGACTGTGTAAATACGAACATCATCATCAGGTTGAGTCATTCCTCACCTTCCAGATGCAGCCACGGGCTTGGCATTTGGCTTCATCCGCATTCTCTTCTGGATGGCAGTCAAACCGGTGATAATCTTCAGCCTTCACATCCCACTGAACCAGATAGGTCTCCCCCAGCATCAGGGACAGGCCATGCAGGAAAAGCACCTGTACAACATGCAAGCAGGCATTGAGCTTTATCTTATACATTCCCTTTAAGCTCACATGTAYGATCATTTTTGGCAGCTGCCATTTTCAAAACCCAAACTGAGCTTGAGACTAAACGTCATTGTTAATGCAATGTTCTTTACCCTTCACCTGTTCAGATCCAAAAACAGTTAACAATAATGACACGTGAATGTTTGAGTGAGCCAYACAAAACCATCCAGACRCAGCTGTGGACTGATTAGCTTTTGTTTTAATTTACCTCCGACAGGCATCAGCTAAACAGTGAGCAGACCCCGGAAACACATCCAGAAACAAACTTCTTCGCATCCTGACTCCCCCTCATGATGTGTAAACTGTATGTTAAAGGGGCAGCTGTCTCTACACGGAGTCAAGATGTCAGACATTATTCCTCACGCTAATATTTAATCATGGTTCTTATTTGTGTTGTTTTAAATCAGGCATGTATCTAACTAACAGCCTCCTGTGAAACCCTGGTCAAGAGTCCCACAACCCAGTCTGCACAYAAAATCATCAATTCAATCAGAAATAACCACATTATAAAAATATATTACTGTCCACCTAATAAAAGACTGTAYAAYGTGTAGTGTTTTYATAAGTCAGTAGCAGACACCCYAATAAATTTCTTCASTCATGACAAACCAAAGGTTAACTGCATATTTACCCTCAGTCACCAGAAACTGATTACCTCAGAGCTGTGTGAGAACATCATGTTTGTGTGAAGTACCAAAGAGACCACAAGACTTAATATAAAAACTTCTGCAGCCACAAATAAAGTATCAAGGCTATGACTTCATTTCTGACACTTGTTGAACTCTTGACTTTTGCTCATAARCCTGATGAATCATCATTCTTACACAAATACAGATCTTATGATCTTTGAGTAATGCAAAATGTTGTCATTTCTTACACTTAATGCCAAATTTGATATTTTACAGCTTTGGGTTCATTCTAGTTTTTGACAAAAACAGTGCATTTGTCTCATAAGTGTGTAGCATGATCTTATGATAAAATACTTGAACGTTTTGACAATGGTAACCTTCAAAATGTATATTTATTTTTAAACTGTAAATTTGAGAAACTGCTGATGACTTTTAGGACTCGGCATTTTTTTAAAAAGCAAAGCCTAAAAAGGAAACTAAATTCATTGTAATAAAAACCACACTTACTCACCCATTGCACACTTTCAGCTGACACCAGCATGGTAACGGAGAGACATGCAGATAAATATGATCTAAAAAACCTGGCTTTAGCTGCCAAATGTTTTGTTGAGTTTGCTAGTTAGTCATTAACTTTGAATGCTGTTTAGTGCTGCTGGRTGTTTGCTGGTTTAGTCAGTTTGTTCCTCAGAAAAGCAAGCAACCTCTGCAAAACAGATCTATRAAACGGCTGAAATACAACACAGTTCTGATGCATGCGCTTTAAAAAATGAGCACTCARTTTACAATTAAAGGTATCCTTGTTATCACATGCAAAACGTTCATAATGACTTTTCACACTGTACCAAAAAACATATCTGTTTCTTTATTTATTTTCCATCAGAACATTACCTCCTTGGCTCCATCGTGGTGTACGTTGATGTTTGGCAGGACAGTGGTTGTTTTGGAGTGACTTCCTGCATCAACATGAGTGACAGAAACGGACGTGGGAGGGTGAGGCATGCCGAGGACAGTAATGTTCTCAAACTTGAGGTTGTTTGGATCTCTGTAGCCAGCTCTGGTCACCTGCATGTTCAGGACTCCCTGCAGGGTGGCAGACACACACAGCGACAATTTAAAGGCAATAATGATGCTTCATAGCCTCAAAATTATTAACTGTAAATAAATACACGTGYTAGAATAAAACTGTTTAAAATAATTAAAAAAGAAGTCCATTAAACAGCAACAGCATTCGTATAACTGATCCAAAATAAATTTAAGCAGCAATAAATGGCTCATTAGTGATGAAGACAAAAACAAAAAGCTTACAATTAGAGCACCATAGAGAACATGCATGCTTCATACTTTCAAGAAATGATTTAAGTGAATATAAAAGAAAACTTACATTGTCAACAGAGAACTTGTAGTGGATGTGGTTGCCATTTTTGACTGTGTCTGTTAAAAAAAGCAGGCAAAGATAATGTTTTCCATTACTTTCAATTGCAAAAAAGACTGTAATCAGTAAAAAAAACATAAACACATTTTCTTTAAACTGAGAGGAGAAGCGATACCTCGGGAATCACCATCATCCCAGAAAAGCTCCCCAGCTGCCTGGTTGTTGTCATCGAGTGTGATGAGCAATCCCATGGGGTTACGCCGACTACATGCATTACAGTGAATACAAATAAGCATATCTGATGCCAAATGTTAAACATGATGCATTTCTGACTCTACATTTGTTCTGTTTGTGTGCACAGAGCATCAGTGCTGTATACCTGTGTGTGGTGGTGACCTCAGGTCTCTGTGTGGGGAGGATGGCGCCCCCTCTGATGTGTAATCCCAGTTTATCACCAGGTAAATTCATGTCAACAAAAACTCTGCGATCTGACAGTCGCTCCATCTAATTAGTCAAAATAATAAATTTACTCAATAAAACKTCCTCTGTAGTCAATAAGTGAATCACATCACAGAGGTTTTGATTAAACTGAGGGTTAAAATAAGGAGTGGCACACATAAAAGACTTATGGTGGAGAATAGAAATATTTTTACCGTCTCATAGTCATACCACACAGCATCTGGTATGTATGCTCGGGTATTGTTCACWCCCTGCAAAAAGGAATGAAAATATTAATGAAAGTACTAATACTTACAGTAGTCTATAAAGAAAACTTGTGCAATACAAGTTCAGAGGTATTTTAATTGTTTAAGACTCTTATGCAGTAAAAATAAAAAAAGGATGTCACATTTCAGTCATTTAAATCTGTACTAAAAACTTAAATCTGTGATAATGTTGGCTTGAACAATGCAGTTTATGCTGTTCTAGTTTTCTGAGTGTTGGCTGACCGGCTCCAGCACTGGTGTGATGAGCAGGTGTTTCCCCCAGAGAAACTGTTGGTCTACATCCCAGGTAGCGTTGTCTGAGTAAAACCTAAGGAGACAAAAGACAGAAAAAGAATATTTATATTGTTCTTACAGTAAAATTTAAAAATGTGTCAAAAGTCATCGACCTATGAGTTAACTGACAACTCCAACAWTGTGTTTGACTTTTTTCTAAAGCTGAACATAAACATGTCATTTATTTATTCATTTTGTTTTATTTAATTTTCATGTGCAGTTAACTTTAATGCTGTCTAAATTAACCAAAAATAAGACTTTATAGTCTTCATTTATCAATTGTGATCTATGAGAATTTTTCAGTCATGAATTGCTTTTTTCTATTTGTTTTATTCAGAYATTTTCGGGCGTTCATTGTGTTTTCAGTTTGCTTATTTCCTCTCTGGCCATTACTGCAGTTCTTCTTATTCTTCCTGTTTTTTTTATGGCGGTTGGCAAACAACATTTGGTGCATTACCGCCACCACCGGTAAGGAGTGTGAACCAGGACTAGCAAGCAAAAAAA